CTAAAGCCTTCCAGATTTTAACCTGGCTTTGAGAACAGTCTCATTTATTTCCTGAGAATCCTGTTTTCTTGAGGGACTTACCAAGAAAAAAAAACAAACCCAAAACTCCAAACCCATACCAAAGTACAAGTGGCTTAGTATTTCCAGAATGTGGAAATACTGCAATACCAATGTCAGAAGTTGGATCCCTTTTTCTGGCTCTCTCAAATGGAGTTTCTGTGTGTGATGCCAAAAACAAGTTGGGTGAGTGGGACAAATTGCCAGCAGGTCTTTCACTGGTAGGAATGGTCATGAGGAAGAGGCTGCAGCTCCCAAATTGCTTTGCTGCCAGAGGTACCAGAGTGGTGCCTGAGCTGGCTGCCACCTCACACTTCCCACTTGCTCTGGTTGTAAATCCTGCCCCAGATCCTGCTCCCTTCTTACCAGCCCAACCCATAGCCCTCCCCTCCCACTAAGTGCTGTTGCATAGCATGCCATATTCTCTCATTCTCTTAAAATGTAATAAAATCATTGTATGGAGTGCATGATATTAACTGTCAACAAAGGTTAACTCATTAAATTATGCATAATTACTACAAACCAGCTGCTTTTAAAGACCTTCTAAAGAACAGTTTGCCCATTAGCTGTGCTGGTTTTTCCTTAGGTATGCACAAATTTAGTGCTGATACAGCTTAGATTCACAAACTGCCTTTTTTCATACCTGTATCACAGTAACTCATGAATATAGATCCACACAATTAGCTAATCAGAGCATTGCCCTTCACACAGTGTAGAAATAAATTTAGAAAAAAAGGAGACAAGAGCTTTTATGCATCAGTATATTTATTACAGCAAAGTCATTAAAACTAGAAAGTAAACAAAGTTACTAAAAGTAAATTCAGGTAGCTAAGTTGTAACCTCAGGAGGTAACACTGACCACAAGAACAACCTCTCAGGTCCTGTCACATGCATCACTCTCCTCAGCATCACCTGGATGTAATATAGGCTTTCCTCAGATAACCCAGGCAGGACTACCCTCAGTGCAGCTTGGTGCTGTTATCTTGGCAGCAGATGTCAGATGAAGGGAAAGTACCCAAGACATGTTACCATACAAGTTCTGCTGGTATCACACACAGTACACCCGTGACAATTCCATTATTTTCCCAAAGGAGGTCGACTTCTCTGTGGTTGTGTAACCCTCTCTCCCTGGAGCACCCTCTCTGTGCTTGTACCCCACAGCATTGCTGTGTACCCCTGGCTCTGATTGCTAAGAAAGAGCTGTGGAAAACAAGTCTATAGGAAGGTAAAACATATAAAATTAAAGCCCCTGTTGAGACAGGAATTCTTGAGCTACTAAGAACCCAAGAGGCCAAACACCAGGTGGAAAAATACACAATCTTATAGGAAAAAAAGGGCAAGGAGTCTAGTCCATCTAGCCCTTCTTCTGCCTGGTGACTGCCTGGCTAGGAAAGACTAACCAAGTGTTTTATCAGGAAGTTGAGTATTCAGTCTAATAGCTTGATAAATCCAGAATGTCTTTTGTGTGTAGTAACCAATTAATATACTTTACATACTATATATCCTGCTTGCAGAATCATTTTGTGCCCAGGTAAAGATGCCCAAAGAAGCTAGTTCAAAAGAGGAGTGCTAATCATAGGCATAGCATGAAAGCAAACAGAAACCCCCCCAGAAGACAGTCTGTCTGACTGTGAAGCCCAAACTTTTCAGTAGCTGCACATTTGATTTCTACACTGTCACTGTGTTCAGGGGAAGTGTCTGCTTTTGGTCTCTTGAGATGTTTCATGGAAGTTTCTGTCTCCTGCTGCTTGTAGAGAACATGTGCCATCTAGTTTTTGTTTTCTCAGCATCTGGTGACCTCAGATTGTGTGCAGAGCATAAAGAGTTCCAAAACATTGCATGTTTTTGTTCATGAACATGGCACGTGCTTTTGGTATTCCTGGCACAGTGGACCTTTGTGTAAAACTGAACTGTGAGAAGCTGGTTCAGCACAGTAAGTACAGTGTGATAACACCCTAAACTTAGCACTCATAAAGAATTCATAACCAAGGAGTCAGCTCAGACACTAAATAGCTGCTTAACTGT